TGATGTGCTTGCGCGGGGCAAGGCTTGGAGGTGCTTGCTCGGGGCAGGGCTTGTGTGCTTGCACGGGGCAAGGCTTTGAGGTGCTTGCTCGGGGCAAGGCTTTGAGGTGCTTGCGCGGGGCAAGGCTTTGATGTGCTTGCTCAGGGCAAGGCTTAGAGGTGCTTGCACGGGGCAAGACTTTGAAGTGCTTGCACGGGGCAAAGCTTTAAAGTGCTTGCACGGGGCAAGGCTTGTGTGCTTGCACGGGGCAAGGTTTAGATGTGCTTGCGCGGGGCAAGACTTGTGTGCTTGCACGGGGCAAAGCTTTGATGTGCTTGCTCGGGGCAAGGCTTAGAGGTGCTTGCTCGGGGCAAGGCTTGTGTGCTTGCNGGGCAAGGCTTAGGTGTGCTTGCTCGGGGCAAGGCTTGGAGGTGCTTGCGTGGGGCCAGGCTTGGAGGTGCTTGCTTGGGGCAAGGCTTTCAAGTGCTTGCACGGGGCAAGGCTTTAAAGTGCTTGCATGGGGCAAGGCTTGTGTGCTTGCACGGGGCAAGGCTTAAAGGTGCTTGCACGGGGCAAGGCTTGGGGTGCTTGCGTGGGGCAAGGCTTAGAGGTGCTTGCGCGGGGCAAGACTTTTGTTGGCCTGCTCGTGACAGGGCTTTAGGTGCCTGCTAGAGACAGGGCTTTTTGTTTCTGATAATAAGAAATCCACGAGTTAAGATCGCCTTCTCTAATGAGAAAATCATGAGCTAGCCCCAAGGTGCGATAACTTTTGAGTCCATCAGCTTTCAATTTTACAAATGTTGGTTGGGCATTTGATCAAGCACTTAGTGAGTATGAACCAAACGTTATTGTAAATCATGACCAAATAATCATATCATAAGCACGAGCGTCGATGACACCAAAATATATACCTTTTAAAGATTGAAACATGGATCATATGATGTACGTTGTCTGACTAGTGTCTTTAAGGATCTATTTCTTTTGGCATGCACGCACGAGCTATTATTTTAATCTCAACTAATCATGACAATTGCTCCACATTAGCAGTAGTGTGGAAAATAAAGACAAATGGTGCTTTCATGATATTTTCAACGCATAGCCTTTGTTTATTCATATGTTAATCAATAAAATCATCAAAAGCCTAAACATTTATCTAACATCACAAATCAATTGCCCAGGCACATCAAATAGCTTAGAATTACAAAGTTGCCATTTTCATAATAATGATTAATTCTTGGAGNTAATCCATAAAATCATCAAAAGCCTAAACATTTATCTAACATCACAAATCAATTGCCCAGGCACATCCAATAGCTTAGAATTACAAAGTTGCCATTCTCATAATGATGATTAATTCTTGGAGCAAAGGTCTTTAAGTGCTGTAAACTTAGTAAAATTCTATGAGGGTCCTAGATTGGTAACCAAGCAAAACCTCATATACAATATATAAATTATTAATTATTATCAACGAGTAATGGGGAAGTGCTAAGTATTTTATTTGAAGGTAGGCTCCATTTTTATTTTTTCTTAGTTAAGTGTGTGCATTCCCACAGATCAAGAGAAACCACATTATATTCTCTTCTCCATATAAATAAAT